TATCAGAGGCAACCAGCAGACTCCAGGAAGTCACTTCACCCCACCAAGACAGTTACAGCATGAGACTCGACTCCCCTGTTAAATTAAAACTTTATGTGTTACACTAGAAGACAGATGAGGTGTATGTTTGACAATTACATGTGTTGGTAGGCAGATGTATTTGTATTTTACTTTGGATAGACAGGCTTGCACAGCATATATAGTATAGAGGCCAAAGTGTACACCATGTGTTCCATTTTTATATCTCACCTGTCATCTTTTGATTGCAAATACGGCTCTGCAGTCATATGATACTGTATTTAGAATACCAATAATATAAACTTTACGATTACAGAAGTCATCATAGTAATGTTGTGACGCATCGCTGATATACATGGTCCAGTAGCTAGCACCAGGCTCAGCGGGGCACGTCACTTGATCTGCTCTAATGGTGTTAGCTCGATGATGGTTATAGTAGAAGTGAAGTCATTCCTGGCTCCTGCAGGACTGAGATACCCTGTCTGTGAATCTCAGCATTATGGTGAGAAATAATGACGACATACTTGTACACACACAACACGCACAGCCACTAAATGCTAAAATGCACCAGTATACTAAGATAGATACCGAATATGTTACACTAAGGGAGACCGGCTATCAATATCCAAGCCCATTTTTTCATTTTCTCACACAACAAACAACACATACACGTAATGCTTGAAGGCCTTTCAACCTTGTACAATAAAAACAAGGTCATAAATAATCAACAATTCTCCACTGTGGGGCTCGGGATGGCGAAAGATGTGGGGATGACGGGACTATTTGTGAAGGGATTGGAGACAGCACGTGTATTTTCTGTAGTGTGAAGCGGGAGGCTACAGAAGGTATTTGACCAGGATATGATAGCACATATGAGGGAGTTAAAGGCCAAACATGTGTCTGAAAACATGTAGTAGTGTTGTCTGCCTGTCTGGCTGTGTAACTATGACTGGCGTCTGGCGCTATCATGTAAAAGACACATACACAAATTCTGTCTTCATTTAACTCTGGTGCAACATAATTGTCCTTCGCATTGAAAGACACTATCCTATACATTTTGAATCTAAACACAGTCTGTTTCCATGTCATATAAACCTGTCAGTGTCTCATATAGCATGCCAGTTAATGTTATGCCCTACATAACATATGCTATATTCTTAATGTACCTAAATACAGTACAGCGGGGAATGGATACTCATCTTGCTCTGCTTGGGGGCCACTTGTGGAAAAAGAGAGGCAGCCAGGGGCCAGTTTATATCCACAAAACAGACATTTGGGTCTTAATGAGTGTCACCTGCCATTTTAATCACATAGACGTGCTCTATAAGTCTATTTAAATGTTTGTACTGTTTTGTCTAAGTAATTGAATATTATCAGCATACTCATTGCCTTGAATAGCAGTCAGAAACGTCACCAACAAATATGTTAGAGCAGGGGAATCCAAACTACGGCCCGGGGGCCAAATGCGGCACGCAGACCATTTTGAATCGGCCCTCAGCAAATTAAAAAAGTATAATGTATAATAAACTTGCCCTTGTCTTTTATTATGCTTCTTAAATATATATGTTCAAATATATAACACAGTATTCATCTGTTAATAAGCCCAATTTTCAAATAAATGCAGTCAATTAAAGTTGGAAACATTTTCTAACATATCTTAGTTGATAAGAAAAAAGCCCAATGACTTATTTACATAACAAGCTTGAAAAATACCCTTCATATTGCCCCTTATTATAATCAATCTGAGGCTTCTGTTTTAAGGGATGAGCTGCAAACACACACAAGCATAATGTATCTACATTTGATTGATTTTGCTAACTTATAACTGAACTTATAAGGCAATATAACTCTAGTGAGTGGCTCAGTCCTTTGTACATTTTTCTGTATGTGGACCTCAGTGAAAAAGGTTTGGACACCCCTGTGTTAGAGCAATTTTCCACCACCTACATGTGCTCCGTTGGAGTTTTTACGCACAAGGGGGCAAAACTGTAACAGTAACAGCTCCTCCATAAGCTATGGGTCTCATACCAGACTGTCAGTGTGTCCTGCGAGAAAAAAAGAGTTAGTGTCTTTGTCTCTTTGACCATAGAAATGGTGTATATGCGCTCCACATGAGTTGTCATGGTCAGTTACTACTCTGAAGTGAAAGTCTAGCAGCGTGGTTCAATGGATGGCAACGTTTGTGGTTCTCTAATAGTTGCTAATGATCCCGAGGCGGATGGTTGTTGGATACCGTTTGGGTTAAATAAGTGTTCTCTAATAGTTACTAATGATCCAGAGGCGGATGGTTGTTGGATACCGCTTGGGTTAAATAAGTGTGTGATTTATGATTTGAATTTGCCATACAAATTCAAATCATAAATCACATGTAGGTATTGTTTTTTTCTTTAACCTGTTAAACCCCATCCGCCCGCCAGCGGGGGGAAAACGCATAAGCTGCAGGAAACAGCGTCTGAGGGCTTTTTAATATTTAATAAACTATGAATGTTTCATATCCATTTAACGGGAAGAAACTCAGCTAACTGATGATATGAACTATTTTTAGCAAAAAAAACAGCCTCTGAATTAGCCCTGAGCGAAAAAATGCTAACGCCATTAGCACAGAACTCAAGGTATAAAACCCTTATTACTTATCGTAAATGCAAATCCAACCCAGCGATTAGCATCGTGAGATTACACGGATTCGATAGGTATCTGTATCATCACTCCATGATCAGTACTCGCGAAATGAGAAACAAAAACAGCCATCACAACATGTGGCATTAGGTAGCCAACACTGCAATATGTCTTACCTTTGTTGTTGTCTGATCAAAAGTTGTCTTCAATGGCATTAAAACGATAAAAACGCTGCTGAAGGTTAATCCATAGGTTAATCCAATGTGCCTGTGTCACTTTGAAATGATTTCTGATAATCCATCAGCAATAAACCTAGGTTTAAGTTTTTAGATTTCAGAGCGTAAGATAGGTTTCGCTTTTGGAAAACTGCATGCGCATAGCCCTCATTTCTCAATGGTAACGTTGGTGTGTATGTGGAAATCCCCCTTTGATTCTATTGGCTCTAACGTTTCAAAAGAGATGTCAATCATCAAAATCGACCAATGGGTTCCAGAGAAACGGCAACAACGCCCATTTCCACCCAAATGACCCCAGAGGTGGAGGTTTCTTTTTGCTAAACCTCTCTAAAAAGGTCAAATGTCACTTATTTTTGCATCAATCTTGATACAGGGTACTTATATGTTGTACTTTGGATTCCTAAAGCTTTTAGTCTACTAACCCATCATTCTAGGGTGTTTTTTTTCACTATAAGTAAAAAAGAATTTTTGGACGGACACTATAATTTACATTTTCATGTTCAATCTGAATTTTCTTTAAAATAAAAAACATCTATATTGATTCTGACTCTTCTGCATTCAACTCACAGGTTTATCATTACTTTGAGAAAAAAGATTATTAATTTTTCCCATTTAGAAGTGTAGTTATGGTCATTTGTTCTGGAAATGTCATTTTCGAGCCTGAGACATGAAAAACAGGCTTGGGGCTTAACAGGTTAACCTATCCCATTCAATTGTCATTTGAGTTACAGGGTAGCCTACATTTTGAAGCTCTGAAAAAGCACAGGCCGTCTGGCTCATTAAGCAGTGTTTCTAATTCAAGTCACAGTCCATCTGCACAAACTGAGCCTTTAGTTTATTCGGATGGAAAATGCAGAATTGTAGTTACATTGGTGGCAATAGTCCTAGGGTTGCCAACTCTCACGCATCTGGCGTGTGACACACGCTTTCACTCTCAATCCCACACTGCCCAAACTATTCTCACGCCAAAAACAAGATGAACCGGCGATCGTTTTTGGTTGGTTATTTACAATGTTGAGTTGACAGCTGCTCAAGCTGTCGATCCCCGCAGGCCGCGGCCACCACTCTTAACAATTAACAGAAAGCAGAGCAGTGGGAGCCGGTTGGCCAATCCGAGACCCGTATTGCGCATGCGCAGATCTAAGATCCAGTAGAAATTATAAAAAGTAAAAGTCTGCTGCTTATTGTTCTACTATGCCAAAATATAGTCAAAGAGTATATGAGAGTGAGTGTGTTAATTAATATATTTGGCAGTTTGGAGTAAGTCTGTAGATTTGTGTGTGTGTTTCATAGGCCTCTCACGATAATTAATTTTGTTGGATACATTTTCCCGGAAATGATTGCGATAAACGATAATATTGTCGGCACCGTTGTATGACCATTTTAGACCACTGACATAATGATAATATATTATATAATTCAAGTACATCCTTTCAAACTGCTATCACATCCTCATGTAAATGGCAATTTATCGAGGTAAGAAAAGTTATCGAGTTCATTTTTATTTATCGTACGATAAGTCAATTAATTGCTTATCGCGACAGGCCTATGCACACAATAAAACAGTGGAAACAAACATGTATTTGACGTTCATTAGTGAATGAAACTTTGTGCCCTTTATAGTGTGTCCCCAATATTGTGTATTTGTATATATATATATCCTATATATGCTAAGGTCCCGCTACTGACACGATAGCAGTCATTTAGTGCGCATATGTGTAATTAAACCCATGATATCACAAACCTGTATTTTTGGAAGGCCATAATTGAGTCAGCACAAGTAACCGTGTAGGAAGTTATCACCGGCCCACAGCCACAATTGGTAGTGTTTGACAAGACCAGAAAAAAAACAGATATATGAAGGGAAAGCATTGAGGTAAAATGTCATCTAATTAGCAGGTTTTCAACCACACCATCATTCTGTAGCTTGAAAGTGTCCGTAACACGTGGGTAAAACACTACTTCATTTATGCAACAGCTCCACACTGTGGACGTTTAAGGTACTACATGTAGACTAAGCTAAGCACACATTGCAACAGGCCTATGTATGGATCAGTGCCATTTTGTTTCCAGGCTTCCCATAACTGTTGTATGTATCCTTAAATATATAAAAATAAATCATACAACATATGATTTTAAATGATATATATTTAATAACTTCACAAAACAGCACAAGGATGGAAGTTTCTATTGGGTCATTCAGACAGTGAGACACAAACAGTGAAAAGTTGACAGTTAAAATAATAGCAGCTGAGGCAGAAAGGGAAGAATCAGAGGGAGTGAGGACAGCTAAAGACCATCCAAGAACATGTCAGTGCCAGCGCTCTGATAGTGGCCCTATCCAGAGTACTATGACGAGAAATAGAAATCCAAACGTGTCTCTCTACATATATAGCTGAAGACTTTCCAGTGGTTTTGCCAGTAGCTTTTCAGCACCCAACCCCTCTCACAACAACACAGATGTCATAACTCAAACAAGACTTTCACACTAAAATAGGGGGAATACGGTCTTTAACATATACACACAGCAAACTCCAGTTTAAATATGAATCTGTTTATACTAATAAAATAAGGAAAAGGCAGTTTTAAGCCTCTGTAACTGTAAGCGGCTACATTTAAGATGTTCACATCATCACAAAGAGAAAGAAAAATAACATGAAACAAATATCAATCAACCATGAAATCAAATGATCAGAGAAAAAAAAGACACATGTGTTACATTTCACAAACTGATGTAAAGGCAGTGACAGATGGTAGTTTTTGGACAACATTGATCAAAAAGTTGCCAAAGTTAATCACCCCTTTTTATCCCTAAAACAAGTCTGTCATGCTTCATTATAACATGTTGAGGAGAGTGTAACTGCCAGTATACAGTATATTGCTGTCTGAAACTAGCGTTGGAAGTCCTTTGACAAGAGGCTTTTAGTCATGTGTGAAAGGTCTCTTGAAATGGCTATAAGCTGTCATAAGGGTTAAGCTTGCACAGTAAAAACTAATACAAATATTTTAACAGTGAACTTATTTGGGTCGAAACCATGGGGGAAACGCACATAGAAAGAGGTATGCTTATTTCATTGAATTGTAATGAAATTTCACGGCATTCAGCCGCACTCCCGCCCTTCACAAATACAGATCGTTTGACAGCATCCCATTAAAAAGGAATTCAATAAATGTACAACATTCTGCATGTAGCACATTCTCAAATCACATGTCCAGCCCAGAATATTGCCAGATCGCTGAGTCTAAAGGACTCCATTTTGATGATTCTGATGTTTTTAAATAAATGACTGAAGTAGATGTAGTGTTCATATTCCGGTAAACCAGCAGTTAATCGGCATAGGCAAAGTACACAGTTTATAACTAATAACTTCTGTTTGGCTAGCTGTCTATTTGAATACAAAATGTTAAACAATAAAAAGGTGGGCATGGGTTTATCCCAGATGTTAGGTAATGAAGAGAGCTGTTAAGGTTGTTTTTTTATCTAAGAACACTGCTGTGAACTATGTTATTGCTGCTACTGCTAGTTACCTCTATAGACCTGCAGGGAAAACTAATATTACAATCAATTGGATGAAGTAATTTTCAATAACCAAATAATGTTTTGTTATAAAGTAAAATACATTTCATATTTTATTTGGCACGCGATTGATGGGGCAAAATACACCCAATAACACAAATCACAACACAATAAAGTGTCTTCATTCTTGGGACCCTTAATGATGCATATTAGTTTTGAGATTTGTTTTGCCAACCTGATAAAAGTTTCAGAGAGAAGTTTACAGAAACCAGTCACACCTCTGTGACAGTGCACTGTCCATCAGGACTACGTGATCGCAGACTGATTGCAGAGCTCGAAGGCCCCCCCCTCGGAGGCATCCTGGCTGGCTGGTTCTCTCTTAGCGGTCTTTGCCTATGTCTAGGTATAGATTCTGCTCTCTCGCACTCCCTTTCTTCCTCACTGTCACTATTGCCGGATGCATACTCATATACCTGTAGCTCATCATCTCCTTCCACGTCTTCACCCTCTGGCTGGCTGATAAGGAGCTGGGATAAAGACTCTTCCACGCTTGGTAATGAGGCAAGAAGGGGACTGGTAAGATGGCACCCCAGGTGTGTTGGAGGTCTAACAGGAGGAATAGATGCCATAATCCCAAAGGAAGAAGACTGTGATGGGCCATCAGTGTCCGATCCATCAGCTGAGCTGATGCGTTCTGTTGCAGCTGGGGGGACAACTGGTACAGTAGCAATGGGGGCAGGTTCGGGGTCTAACCTTAGTCCTGCAACTCCCTTCTTGGGGATATCTACAATGTCCCGCTTTATCTTGCGTCTGCGGCCATGCTCATTCCGGCGATATTGCACCATGTTCTCCAGGTCTGCCACATAAAGAAACCCCGCAATTAGCATCTCTGTGCTCTTCCTGTCCTTAGCGAAAGCCTCCTCCAACTCACGACTGGTCCTCTCATCATACTGCCACCAGCCGTTGCGTCCCTCATAGTACCACGCATAGTCTCCACAGGAGCCGCCCCCAGCCTGGCTCACCCCTGAAACTGCTGCTTTCAGTTCTTCAGGTGAGAGCAGAACTGGCCGCTCCAGAAAGTCTTCTGGGACTTCCTGTCGGCAGAGAGCACAGCGTTTACTCTGCCAGGAGGCACCTTTGACACACAGGTAGCAGAAGACATGGAAGCATGGGAGACGTACAGGGTGGACGCAGCTCTGCAGGCAGATGGAACACTCCGGGTTGACGATGGAGGAGCTGGAAGGGTCTGCAGCACAACTATCTCCCACTTCCTCCATCAGCTTGGAAGGAGCCAAAGCATCCATTGAACAGTCCACTCCTCCACAGCCTGCCATACTACAGAGAGAAACACACCAGTGTCACAACAGATCTGCATGGCAAGACTTGCACTGTTATACATAACTGTAATGTGTATACTTGAATTTAAATTAAAACATGTAATTTGGGGCTGGTCCCACTGGACATATTCTGTTCCGTTTATAGTTTTGTGAACGCCTCAATACAAAAACATAAATGTATGGTTTCTATTGTGAAACAAAGTGTTCAAATCATAATAGTTTAAGAAATGTGAATATTACATGCTGGGAAAGCGGGCAGCCATGATTGTAGCCCGATTGTATTACAAACTTACTCAAAGGCCTATTTTCTGCAGTCTGACAGAGCTAGCCACCTGACTACTGCTATGCTAGCTAACTAGGTCATTTGCTACTTGTTACATCGCAATGTGTTTTATACCAAGCAGTGACGCTAAAGGCTCGTATCTTTAATATGCACTAACACTTTGACGAAGAAACACTAAAGTCAATGTGAGAAATAACATTCACCTAGCTAACGTTAACTTAACAGCTGCTTTAGCATACGCAGTTAGCATGCTAGCTGTCAGTGTGCTTCCAGGCTATTTAACTTCTATATTTACAGATACACTCACCTGAACACTGGGATACTTCTTGAAACGTCCTCAGCAGATGCTCAGGTGGGAAAAATTTATAAAGCTGCCTTCATATTTGACTATAAAGTTATGAACGCCAAGTATTGACTTATTGTCGGTAGGTGAAGTATTCCAGCCAAGCCCATCTGATTTCAGTGCTGCTGGGTCGGCCTCACTGCGTCCAAAATTGCAACTCCACATGATCTGTAGATCTACTACAGCTGCGCACAGTACGTACCGTGCGTCAGGGTCTACGCATTTATGAATCATGATACAGTATATGATCTTTTAACAGATTCATGACATGGTGCTCATCAAAGGCTTTATAAAAGTTTGGTTTATAGTAATTCATTATTTCATTAAAAAAATTAAAAAAGAGTCCCCAACAAGCTGCATTAAGGCTGATCAGTCTAGTAAAGCAGTATCAGTAATAATAATTTTACAATCATCTATGGTTACCGACAAGTTGCATCAAAAGCACTACTATATATGAAATGTCTCTGATTCAGCTTACTCCAACAGTGTTAAATGTAACCCTGGAACACAAACATTTTACAAGATAACACAATCATCCATCAATTTTTTTTTCCCATTTCTGTTGGTTTGCATAGAAAAATCTGTTTTATTTTAGATGAATACATCTCTGCATTTAGAAAAGTTGAATACCTCTGCCATATCAACACATAGTCTGTAAGGAGGCTCTTTTACAACCTTATACAACCCACTTGGACTCTTTGGTCTCTTTCTGTTGACACACTTCCTGATCTGTGACACGGGGGGGCAGGGGTCACCGGAGACACTCGGAGACTTCAGAACTTGTCGGTCACGCGTCTCCTGTCCCCTCCTGTAGGGCCGCGCGCTGCTTCTCCAAATACATGGACCCCAATTTGTCCATCCTCCAACCTCGCAGTGGACTATAAAGATAGAGGACGATCGTGAGAAAGATAAGGTATCGGAGTAGAAGCAATAAGTAGCATAACATTGAAATAAGTAAACTACAAGTTTCTTAAAATTGTACTTAAGTACAGTACATTTACTTAGCTACTTTACACCACTGCTTACAGGTAACGAGACATGAAAAAGACAGTGTATTTGACATCTCAGCTGTGTGAAAACAGTTTTTTATTTTCTCTCACCTTGGGGGGTGCATTGCATAAGCTGCACATCCGGCTCGAATCCTTTGGGGCAGGTGAGATGACATTGGCCGTGGAGAAAGTATAGGTCTGCTCTACACCTCACACACATGTTCCTCCTTACACACATCTCACAGCCTGTACAGCACTCTGACACTGAGGGACACAAACACATCACATTGTACTGTAGACCCCCAGTATCATGGAAGACTTGTATGAGAACACACAGTGCCTTACCTGTGCATTCACGGAGCACCGTGTTCGCAGTGAACCCGATTGGACAGCTGTCTCCACATTTCCCCCCGAACAGGAAGTGACCCGGGTGACAATGAGTGCAGAAATGTTCACTGAAACAGGAAGCGCACTCGTCCTTGCACCCTGCAGATCAAGGGAAATTAACTGGTCAGCAAAGACTGTATCAATAAAAGGGTAGTGACCACACTGTCGTTAGTTTGATATTCTTAACACTGACTTTAATCAGTTTGCACTAAAAAAAGTGGTACAGCTGCTGTAACGATATAATACAGAAATAAGCATTTATTTTTTTATTTCATTTGGCTAAAAATGAAGAGCAACATATTCAGTTGATAAGCGGTGTCTTGTGTACAATAACTTGAAATGACTCCTCCCACACCTATTATAAATGTGAAATATATACATTTTGCTGTATGTTTATATTTGACCTGTTGTACCTTTTTGCTCCTGCTGTGTTTTTTCTTTTTTTTCGTAATCCATTTTCTGGTTTCTAACACACCTTTACACTCTTATAATATCATTCATGTGAGGTGTATTTCATATTTGTAATCGTGAAATTAACAAACAATTAAACTTTTACTTTAACGTTTTTCCGTCACTCGAAGATGTGTATGGACTTACTTGTGCAGGTGCCGATGTGTGGAAAGCGCCTGCCATAGTGACCCCGGGGACAGGAGGACAGGCAGGAGCCCCTCTGCCGCATCCCGTCCAGCTCCAAGTGGAAGAAGAGGCGAGGTTTGCAGGACAGACAGCCGTTCAGGGCAGAGCATGACACGCAACCTGCAGGACAGACCCTGCTCACAGAGGAGCTTCCTGCGGATGAACAGATATGAAATTAGTGCGTCCGTCTAAAAAAAAACACAGCTGGAATTTTAGATTTTTCCTAAACCTGTAAAAAGACAATAGATTAAAAATACTCAGGAACGCTGTGCTTTATGAGAGCACAGAGCGATGCTTTCAAATTCAGTGTGCAAGTAGGTAAAACCAATAGAAATCATTGAGTACATTATTCCCTGAAAGCACTCATATTATGTTCATATGTAGGGTTGGTCTACTGTTGACTATGTTACACTAGATAAATCATTTTACAGAAGCTTTGCAGAACATAAGCATTAGAGAGGTGAGGCTGACAAGTTAATTAATACTTACGTCTTGTGTTATCTTGGCCTTCTGTAAGAATCATGAGGTGCAGCATCCAGATCAACAAAGGTATCCACATCTTTCCCATTCAGTACGGCATCAATCCAGTCACCTTGCATCACATCCCAAATCCCATGATGTACAGTTCATGGAAAAAGGTTGGATTTCTCCATAAAATTCATTCAAATGGACCCACGTTGAACTCTGGTCTGCGTAAAAGAGCGGTCGAGTGCAAAATGTTTTCTTGCAGAGAAATCCCATGTGCATTCCACGAGATCACTGAAGAAGCCGGCAGAATGCCACGAAGAATGCAAACAGAAGACAAACCATTGTATGATAGTCGCAACCCAGATGTAATGCAAGTTTGGATAAGCTGCTGTGGGCTCGTCTATGTTATCCCCCCGAACACAGACACACTCCCCCCTCTTCTGTGTTACCCGTCCTCCGTGACACTCCCCCTGAGCCTTAAAAATATCAAAATATGCATATTTTCAGAATTGGAATAATAATACCACCATGATATTACATTATATTATTACTTCAACTTTTTCTGTCACAAAGTCTACATTAATTATCCAACTGAAGCTTAACATTCTGGGTATTGTAAGGTCCCCCCTCTTCCCAAACGTGTTTTGTTTTTCACTTGGATATTTGACCTTCACACCAAAACTCTGTTCTCACATTCTGCAGCTGAAGGAGGGAAGTTTTTCCATGCTCACGTTGAATCAGTTTAAAATGTATACGTACGTCTTTGTGACCGCACAATTGGAAGCCAATGGTGGTAATGCAAGTGTGAAAAAAACCATTCTCTTAAAATGACTTTGAAGTGAAAAGGACAATGTGTGTCCAGGATTCCAACTTTTCCAAAAACTAAACCGTTTTTGTATGTTTAGTGAGGGTTTGAAATGCATGTTTGATGGGTACAAAAAAATTGCATATTTCTAGTGAGATCATTGAAATATTTCGGACAAAATGTTATCGACTGTCGCTTAGATTCATATGTTGACCAACATATAATCATTTGAGCAGATGAAAGGCATGATTGCTATTCATCTTGCCTCACAGCATGTTGAAATGAGAGCTTGTTTAGAGGCGAATGCAACACATTAGGTACAACTCTTTCACTCTCATCTTTCGGTTTAACCATAATGTCAAACGGGCGGATGTGTGACCATAACACCACAAATATCTCCTCATTTAAACATTAAAACATGTTTTTTTAAGCATGTCATCAGAAGATCAACACCAGCTCATCAAAGTCTTCACATGGGCTGGATGAAGTCACAATGACGAAGACAAAACAATACCCAGCACAAAATAACTGACATAACCAAGTCTCCATGCTTTTTAGATGTATTTAAACTTAAGGCATGATTGGGCACTTCGTGTTCTCCATGAAGACTGGCTTCAGGAATCCTGAACCATAACCATAACCAGACCATAAATAAATACATACTGAGTGATTTGACTACCTCCCAATGAGAAAAAAAAAGAAGAGGGCTGGAGGTGTCAGAGAGAATCTGCGGTTCCCACAAAAACTCTGGAAGGCGATAAAAGCAGTAGGCTGCAGACGATTTGTTGTTTGGCATCCCACTGAGTACTATCGCCTGTTTTGGGAACTCTGTGGTTCTCAAAACAGATTTGAACTCTCTAGTGCTCGCCTTCCTGGAATCAAGCTTCCCTCTGCAATTCATGCTTCTTTGCTTTGGTCTATAATCCTTTCAGAACCTGTCAACTCTGATAGAATCAAATTGTGGGGGTTTGTTGCTTTTGCTTGATTCTAAACGTTTTGTTGTATTGTTGTTAAAATAACTGTATTCCTCTTCAAGACAGAAAAAGTTACACAATTGAAACCATGTGATTCTTATTAAGAAAGGCACTGCAAGTTATCATAATATGATGTCTGCCAAAATGGACGGCCGTGCTTTCTTCGGCCTGTCTGGAAAAATGTCAGAAAAAGAATGAGTGGAAGCTTATCAGTGAGATTTTACATTGAAGCTGATGTATCATCCTTGAGACGCAGCTCAAAGTTACACAGGGCCAGACAGGGCTACGCTGGCTGCCTTAAATTGTCACCAGGTGCTCAGACACAGACAGGCAAGGCAGATTTTTTTTGTTTTGAGAGAGGAAGAAGAGTGTGTTTCTCAAATCCCACAGGAACAAGCACAAACTCACGATAGAATAACACCTCAGAGGATCCTCTGGACGTGCAGCCAGCTGCTGCGGAGAAACACCATCCATCAATCTGCGTGCAGTAGATACTCAAAGACTAGCCTACCTGCCAGATGGAAACTCAACAGGGATTAGAAAATATATGCAAATGCTAGAGGGCTCTGTCATGACAATGTAAAAGTAAAGGAGAGAACAAGCAGGGCAGGTACAAGGGGTTCAAATGTCAGAAGGGTGGAGCTCCACAAACCCAGTAACAACTCCACAACCTGACTGGGAACATAAACATGACTACGCTCACTGGGGTGCCAGATCAGATTCTTGAAGAAAATAACCGCCGGAGGCCAAGGAATGTCTTAGCTGCCGCAAAGAGAAACGGGGAATGAAAGAAAATGATAATAAAAAAGAAGGAGAGCCACGAAGAGTTTGAGAGCCATGTTTATTGACACATGTAATCATGTTTGCATGGTCTAAAGTACAATGAATGAACCAACGTTGTAATTCAAATGTTTGTATCAAATCACTTGATCTACTGTTAAATAAAGACTCTACAAGATCTTAAAACAGTCCACTATAACACAAACCAGAAACAGCTTTTAGGGCATCGTCTGCCATGAGCTTTTACTAAAGCACAAAATGCATATAACATCTGTTTCAAATAAAAATCAAACAGATAATGTCGGATCAGGACATTTTACAAGACATCTTCACTGCTAACAGATGCCTAAGAAGGCAAAAAGCCCCTCGCCGTGATGAAGGTGTGAGCAGGATAGCATCGCAGATAGTCTATGTAGCGTGAAAAGGAGAGGAATTTGGGAGGAGGCCGAGCCCCGCGCCCAGTGAAGACGCTGTGAGGCATGCAGCTTTAAAACGCTGACCATGACCGGTGATAGGAGAGCGAGGGGAGGGGGAAGAGATCTGGAAGTACTAACTTACTCCGAGCTGTCCACAACCTCCAGATCAAAGCTCAACACAGTCATGTGACATGTCATGTCTCCAATGCTTTCTAATGCGAAGGTGAATGTTATTGCAGCAGCATTCATGGCATGATTACATGTGATATGATGTGTGTGAATTGAAGTGTCTACAATGGGAGGGATTGTAAGGTTTACAAGAATTTAATTAAGAACAGAAAACTCTTGTGAAAGGAAAACATTTACACAATAGTAAAAACACATTTTCAAAAGAAAAATATGATGCATAATGAAAAAGGAAGAATATTGTCGCCGTCCTAGAAAATGTTCATAAAAATGTCGAACTTCCCCGTCTTCATCCCTTCGCTTTTTTCAGCATTTTCTATAAAAAAATGTTTTAAAAAATGATTTGTACGTTTATCCCACATTCAAAATGGAGAAATTAGAATGTGTACATAGAAATGTAAAATCATTATTAGTAAGTTGCTTGAGTAAGTAAGTTAGACTACATATGATTAACTGTCAACTCCAATTATAGATAGAAGAACCAAGACAACCCACTTTAGTTGGAATACTAGGATTGTAATGCAGGAGTGCTAATGTCCTGCAATGTGTGGTTACATGTTATTAAATGCACTCAATGTAAAACTTTTTTTTTTTATTGTATATGTAACTTAAGCACCTCTTCAAAGCATACCATGAATTAATTTGATTGATGTCAACAGTTATTATGTATTGTATTAGTTTACATGCTTGATTAGTTGCCCTTTGTAATGCAATTGCCTTAATACAATCCAAGATGGGTGCAATAATAAAAACCTTGATAAACCTCCTGCAAATTAACTAAATTCAATAAATCCACTTACATGTTATTTCACACATGCAAATACAGGACCCAAAGTCATGCGGTTGTTGTGGAGGGTTCTTTAGATAGATTGGTGCCTTGCTTAAGGGCACCTCTTCAGCTCGCAGGAGGTGAAAATATATCATATTCCAATCACTTGTATATAGACTCGTATTGCACTATTTTTCTTTTTGTATTTACTTGCACTATTTTTTCTGTTCTTCCACACTATTGGTGGAGCCTGGGACCTAAGATGTTCATCGTCATAACTACACTGTAGCTATGTAGTATGACTAATAAAAGCCTTGAACTGGCACCTCTACGTTTAACGTTACCAGGTAACACTACGTACTGACTGTCTGAGCTGACCTTTCCACCATCAGGATCCCAAGCCACCTCAAATACAGCCTAGATATAATTTATAAATTATAAGATGTGGGCCACCTCCGGAAAATTAGACATTTCACAGCAGTCTTAAATACAATCAATGACAATAAAACAACTGTATTTAAAAACGTGCGAGTGCCTTTGGAGTATTCACTGCATTTCAGAGAACAACAAAAGGACCATAAGAAAATCTGTTGGACTCAAACAACCACTATAAAATAGTTGTTTCTTATTGTACATTGACTATCTAATAATAACATGAGATTATTTAATTAAAAATAACAATAATTGCAGTTTGAATCAGGAGATTGCAATAACGTTTGAAATCTTTGTCTAGTAGTATACGGTTTGGCAAGGCCCTTGACATTTGAGGCACGTGTTTAGCCGTAAAATATAAATAAAGTGGGAAACAACAGTAGCTTGTACAACTTGTGATTTGAGCTTCCTTTTTAACTAACCTTGGACACTGCTTTGAGGTGATGAGCTCTGATCGTTGCAGATTTCTCCTGAAACGCGTTAGCCTTCGCCTCTTCCGCCAGGTTGCTCAAAAACATCAACATCAGGAGTTCAATCTGAGGAAAAGTAACACCATAATTGTTTATTGATTAGCTGTTAGCCATGATAGCAGCGTTAGCCACAAATAGAGCACTCAGAAACATTAGCAACATTAGCGCGTTAGCTCTTCACCATTGCTTCTGACGTCGGCTTCACGATTATGTTAGTCTTCGCTTTTGTTTTGATTATAGATTTCAATTTGGGCGCCTTCTTCAGCATGTTGGCTAATGTTCAGGGTGATACAAAAGTGTGTTTACTTTTTTTCAATCTCCCGCTTCTCTTACTTCCGGTGAACTGATTCTTCTTCGTGACATTTGCATCGTCACTTGTTGCCATTACTCCCCACTACAGTTTAAAATGTCTGGTTTATATTTCTGTTTTTACAGTAAGGATAAAATAAAATACAACATTTATTCAATTTGCAAACTATTAAATATCTGGAATAAATAGATACCATAAACAGGCACAGATGTAAGTACTGTGTGTGGTGGCTCTTTTTAGTTTCAACTAAGGTTTGTTGTGTTGTAACGATGCCACCTAGTGGATGAAATGTGCAACTACATCAGCAGAACACCATCCTTTGTATCCGGGTCAGCGGGCAGTAATGGCGACCACGATGGAGACAACAACCGGCATGATCAATATGCTGCAATTCATGAAATTTATCGGACAACTAAAAGTAAGACCTTTCCCCAAAGTGACTTGTATGGTGATTTGGCCCCTTGTCAAAAATGAACGACACATTATTTTAAGCCTGGGTTCCAAAAATATTGTATTGGTGCTACTGGAGCTAATACAGTGAGGCAGTGCTTTTTTGTAGTCCTTACCAAAGTGCAACTTATCCTTATTCATCTACCCACACAAACAAACATGTTGTGACATGAGAAGAAAATTAAACCATTGCCTTGTTATTGCCCTGAAGGAATAACATTAATAATTGTAGGTTAACTTATGTGTCCTGTATGTGTCAATGTATGGTCAAATAAATACAATCGTTATCAAAACATCAGTACAAAACCTTAACAGATTAGGTTTACAACCATACAAAAACATATTCACTCTCCCTTGGCTACAGCAAGTGTTTTTTTGTGGTTAAATGTATGTTTTATTCGAATATGTGCAGTCATACAAAACATGTTTGTATGTATTTTGGAATGTTTTATTTTCTTTCAGTGAAGACAATATCTCCAAACAGAAGCTGTCTTACTTAGTTGATGAAAAAAATATCACTAGGCATATATTTTAGTTGTTGTTCTCCCTTGTCTTTGCAACTCATTATTAACTCTGTGTTGTTGTTCCCTGCAGAGGGTCCCACGGACCGGCTGGGTGTACAGGGAGGTGCAGAAACCTGAGAGTGTGTCAGACCACATGTACCGCATGGCCATCATGTCTATGACCATCACAGACCCCACAGTGGATAAAAACAGGTGATTCATTCACACTGCTCACACCCAGACCTGGAAGCAACTTTAAAAATATTTTAAAAAAGTTGACATGAATTATACTAGGTAGAATATAGCAGCTCATCAACTGTATATATTTAAATAACCTACATATTGTTGTATTTTTCCCTTACTGTCTTTAGATGTATAAAGCTGGCTCTGGTTCATGACATGGCAGAGTGCATTGTGGGAGATATCGCTCCATCAGACAACATCAGTAAAGCTGAGAAACACAGGCGAGAAGAGGCAAGTGACCAGTATCCCATATCTTAACACCTCTGTTTTACTAAACAAAGAGTCTGTTCAGGCTTCCATGGCATTTTTAAGTAAACATTGATGGCTTATATTAAATTAGTAATGTCTGTGTTTGACTCTCTAATTTCTCCATCTCACTTCTCTCTCAGGAGGCGATGAAACATATTTCAGCTCTTCTGCCGGAGGGACTCAAACAGGAGATGTATGGACTCTGGGAGGTAAGCTTCTGCTTTGGTTGAATATCAAGTAACCTCATACCTAATAGGAAGTCATGTCCCTTTATAATGATAATTATACCAGTGGGATATTGCACTTGTGTTTTTCTGCAGGAATATGAAAACCAGAGCAGTGCGGAGGCCAGGTTGGTGAAAGAGTTTGACCTCCTGGAGATGATCCTGCAGGCTCACGAGTACGAGGAGCTGGAGGGAACACCAGGAAGACTGCAGGAGTTCTTCGACTCCACCGAAGGTTAGTTTGGAAATCTGTGTCTCTATTCTTCCCTGGATCTCATCAATTCAGTTGCTCACATTTTTGCACCTGTGAAGGTTTATTTTTTCTTTGATATTTAGCTTATAAATATGCAACTAAGCAATTTTCTTATTATATTTGAAACAGTTTTCTCAACAGTCAACAATGCAAAGTTGTGATTACACTTTAAAACGGAAAGCTGTTTGACCATAAATGACCTTCTCCAGACAATTTCATGTTATTTTAGTCATTCAAACTAAATGTGAAATGTTTACCATACTTTTTTTGAATTTTCTGGGGGTAGCCAGAATGAATAGGCAAAATTCAGATAAGATATTACAGATTTTGAAGCTGCCTTTACTTGCATTGTTTATATTTAGATTTGTTATTCTCTCAGGTCGTTTCCAACACCCAGATGTGCTCCAGCTCCTCAGCTCTTTGAATAAAGAGAGAGATTGTCACATGAGTAAAAAGGATGAAGCAAAGGACTCTGGGAACTCGCAGACGACTGGTGGTGCATCTTCACACTCATCCTGACTCTGACACATACAAACATTTCCTTAGTGAAGGTACTGTAACACAAAATATGTGTATAAAGACGCACAAAGGATGAAGATATTTGAATATATACTTTGTGCATACGGCTATATTTTTGCAAACTGTCCTGGAAAAGCATCACCATATATAATTAATACCAAATGAAAAATACAAATGCAAAAGCTGCCAGATAATATTAAAAAGCAAAAACGTATCAATATGTAATGAAATGTCCAAACAAATGTGTTGGGAAATTATTAAAGAGCTATATAAACTCCCAGATAGTGTTGTAACATTATCACGTTTTATCATCTCAGGCTTTATTCTATTTTTCCAATCCATTTGATTACATTTTGACATATACCATACATTTATCCGGCATACAGTATATAACATCATTGGTTATCATTTAAAATATCTAACAATGATGCTTAACCATCAGAAGAAAACATTTGCTGATACAGTCTAACTTTTTACAGAATAATAGTAATCAGTTATTTACTGTTTCTTGTGGAGGAGAAAAAAAGCGGTCCGACGTGGAAGTCATTTCAAGTCAATTTGTATATTTAATAGAACTTTAGCTGCACATAAATACTTTGTTTTATCTTGGTTTTCTCGGTCACATTTCTGTCTTTAGTGTAAAAACAGTCAGAGTGGTATTTAGTTTGGGTAAACAATCTTTAATATCATTCCATCAGCCATAAAACCAGTTGTTTATAGTAGTTTGTGATTATTTGTATGCAGATGTCAAACACAATGTTTTTTGAATGCCACAGATCAGTAGTTTATTTTCCAATAACAGAACATGCATTACCTCAGTATTTCAATATATGAACGTTAACATGAATATTATTGAACACATTTAATTAAACATGAAAAGATCCCGGAGATCTTCTCAAACCACGGCAAAAAAGAACAAAATTAAACATGAAACGGAGTATATATTGAAACTTGATGGCAAAGTTATGCAGGTACTTGAAAAGTTACAAATAAAACAATGTTTTTACACACAAATTAATAAACATGTTTCACGTTTTGTGGCACCAACCTTTTCCTAACATACTCAGTAAAACTGTATGTTATCTCGCAGCATTTAACAGTTTGTCCTGGACCAGGAAGTTAAAAGAAATCGGTATATTAATGTTATTTTGTCATCAGTAACATAGGCAAAAGGCCACAGAAACCATTTCAGGGTTAAATGTCATGTGTATGCATGTATGAATCCAGCACTAATGTACAGCAGTTCAACACAATGTTTAAAAATGTCAATTTTCAACTGCTAGAGTGAAGAAGGGAGGTGTGTGGTGCAGTGGGTTGTGAGTTGGTATTCGGATCAGGTTCAAACCCCACTGCAGTCAGCATGTCGTTGTGTCCCTGCAAGACACTTCACCCCAAATTGCTCCTGTGGGGATTGCCCACAGTATTGAGTATGTAAGTCACTTTGGATAAAAGCGTCTAACAAGTGACATGTAATGTAATGTAAAAGAAGATAATTCTCAGCATAAGTGATTTATATAATTTTGCGCAACCTCCATATTCTAGCAAGCCTCTCTGTCAGTATTTTTGCATTCAGCTATGCGTAGAACAGTAGGCTGTTATTTTCAAAAAGCATTATAACTGGCTGCACTTGCAAAGTTATCCCATCAAATATATTTTTAGTTGCCATAACAACATTTCAGATCTTTAGTTGTATTGAATAGTCATTTGTACAAGTTTACAAATAATTAGTTTCACCCAGGACTTCAGGATTCCATCAATGTATGTTATACTGTATGTACATTTTAAAACATTTAGTATAAAGTACAAGGTACTTGGAAATGTAACAAAGACTATTATCAACTACTTATTTCTATTAATACCCTAAAAATGTAGTTTTTGGTACGACAGGTGTAGTGAAGTAAAGTTGTGATACTGTACTGGCTGTTTTCACAAGCTTAGCTGCGTCTCGCCTCATTGGATCAACGTCTATGGTATGGAGCTGGCAATACACTCCTATTGGTTGAGTGCACCACACTATGGAAAGAGTAATTCAACAAAGACATTCGCCTCTTGGTAAAAAGTATTTTAGATTGTTACAAAGGATGTTTCCTTTAAACCGAGTTGAGTTATGTGTGGAACTATCTGAGGGTCTCACTGGGTTTATTATTAGCCCTCCATTACAGTAGGTTTGCTGTTGTGATCTTTTAAAAAATAATAGGCAGACAACTGCCTATTTGGAATATTTAGGGTCAATTTGGTCCAAACAAGAAACATTTTTAAACTTCCTTTCAAGCATTCAGGGTTGCATCTAGTGTTAGGAGGCTTCATCTCAAACATGGTTGTAAGCATCCTAACACGAGGGATCTAATACAGGTGTTCTGTAACATTTCAGTCAAGAGTATTTAGAAGATAAGTTCTGCACTACAGCAGTTCCTGGTCTTTGAGTCCAGCCTTACACGCTCTATCACGGCCTCTCGGAGCCGTCCGTCAAGTTGTTAGTGGGCGTGTCCTGAGAGCTGGCGTTCGCTGCGGAGGAGAGGACTTCCTCGAAGCTGCCCCCTGTCTCTGCACCGCCCACCTTTGTCTGTGGAAAAAGCAGGAAAAGATGGATACACAATATTAAAGCTGAAATGTTAAAGACTTCTACTATCACCCTCTGCCAGTGAGTACATTAAAGGGATAAGGGGTCTTTTTCTTTTTTGAAAGATAATCTACGCTCAAATGTCCCTTTTGTTTTTAAATTGTCTAAATATGTTTAAATTGTGTTTTAGAGAAGTGTTTGATTTGCTAAAGAGGACGACATTATCCTTATTATAACTGAAAGTCCCAAAATAGAAAAAACTCTTGAGTAATTTAGAATTAAAAATGTTCCAAATGTTTTATATTTATTTATTATTTAGCATTATTAATTATTAAATTAGTTATCAACAATAACAACACATAGTAGTGCCATGCTCATCTTTCATATAAGCAAAGAAAACATTTAAAGACATGAAAAAACCCATACATACATAAAACATAAAGTAAACAATAACATATATAATAAATAAATAAAATTAATCATACTAGATTTAATAATCAAAAATATGTAGTTTGTATAATCATAACAATAATAATAATATAGTCAATAAAAAGAGAAAAATACTATAAAATAAATCTCATATCTGACCGTGGTCCTTTCTGTGGCTATTGTAGTCTAAAGGAGAGAGGGTGCTGCTGCTAAGACTGTCTCAGGATCAGTGTGATCAGAAATAACCAGCAGGCTTACTGTGAGAGTCAGGAGTTTAATCTGGCCTCCACACAGATTACAGTGTGTACCTCTCTCTGCTTCACTAACACTTTACAACACTAACAGGCAACAACATGACCTGTGTCCCTGCGTGGCGTTCACAGTGCACTACTACAGATCAGCAGCTGGTTTAAATGCTGTTAGTTAGTGTGACTGTGACCAGGAACAGCCACTGCTCAGCTCGATTAGATGCAGTTACAATATAATAAATAGGCTTGTTTCTTTTATACTTGCTTAGAAATGTGGAATCAATACACATATTGTTTTTTATCGCTTAATGCACATTCTTGCTCACACACAAACACCATTTGTGTTCACCTTTAGAGTAGAAACTGTAGTCTCGACTTTCTCCTCAAAAGACTTGAAGCTGGGAGAGTTTCTGTGAAGAAAATGAAATCATTATTGTATTTATTTTAAACTGCACAACACGATTAGCTACAGTACACATTTTGCTTAAATGTAAAGATTGTATGACAATGATGGCTTATAGGCTGCTCTCACATGTACACTTGGGATACATTGAATATGTAATGTAATAGCATACATGTGCTAATATGCAGGAAAAAGGTCATAGGTGTAAACAAATATATAATGCAAAAAACATCTCTGATATTCAAATGTTTTCCCCCGGGTTTCTTCTGATTAATATTATTAAATAAATGTAAAGGAAGGACACATTAAACAGTTTACTGGGAGTGCACTAAGCAGTGCTGTAGAGGAACATAACGATTAGCGGAAAAACAAACACAGATTGATTCTCGATCAAACACACAAAGCCAGCAGTGGTTACCTCATGGTGGGCATGCTCATTGAGTGTCTGAAAGAGTAGCTGTCCCCAGAGAGCGTGGTGAGAGAGGAGTTAATAATTAGCACAGGATACACACGCACAGGATACACACACACACACACACACACACACACACACACACAAAACCAGAGATAGATAGAGATATCACTGTCGTTAAGCACTTTCTTCTGACATTGTGCTCATTAGTCAGTCCCAGAGCCTCTTGGAGGATGGAATGGAGAGAGGAGAGGACATCTGAACACTAGTGTCACTGGCGAGAGTTACAGTAGGTAATAGGAAATGGAGAAATATGATTTAAGCACCGATCATGATGAAAAAATGCTCACAAGTAGTGGGGAATTTTCAATATCGACACAATAGTTCATATCCTCACATGAGAAAGCTATTATTGTAAAAGAAGAAAATGAATCTGATCATTCCTGATTTAAAAAATACAGGAATGATCATGTAATAAATTACAGATTTACACATTGTTGCTTTTTATTTTTTAACTTTATTTTATTCATACATGGGTACGATTATGATTGTATGTAGGTTTGATTTATTATTACCTTATTTAGGATTGTTGGATTTCAATTTCTCAAATATCTTTGTCCGTGAGCCTACACAAATATTTTTTCCTTTACAAAAAAGAACTTTAAATAATTACAGTATAGTTTGATTCCAAGAGTTTCAAGCATATCCTGATGATTTTCGGGATAAAACTTAAATAAGTTTGGCTAGAATAATCATCACATTCAATGTTATTGTTTTTCTTTGCCTGTAAAACATAATTGAGAATGTTGAAACCTGCTAGGCAAATGTCCAACCCAGTCTCATGGCATTTCGTGTTCACCAACACGATTTTTAATCTATTGATTCGTGTTCACCAACACGATTTCCCCCTTTTTTTCGTGTTGCACAGCACGATTTTAAAAGCAATGTATTTCTACTGGTAATGACGCTCATGGAAGCACGGCATTCGTTTGTGTCGGCTGCCCTTAAAAGGCAATGTGATCCATTCTCATTGGATAACGGAGAATTGTACAACCGGAAGTAAGTATTCCCCTTACTGTCGATTGATTTTACAGTGATATCTGCACTACTCATCGACTAAAAAACACCAGATTATCCTTGTTAATTACACAACATTGATTGGTTTGAATTGTGTGCAATGCTTTTGTATTTTTCCCCTTCGATTCGGAGAAACAAATATTTTTTCGGAGTAAAGGATGGCAGAAGACACTACACTACCCAGAATCCCCAGCTATCGTTTGGACTACACCATGTGCTCTGCTGGCGTCTATGTCACGTGATCTTCAAATTTCTCCCTGCAGAAAAAAAAACATGGCCGAACTACGTTTTATTCTCGGTGAAAAATGCCTATTTTAAAGTTAGTTTGGCCATTAAAATGCGTTTTGATGTCATTTGATGCGATAAATATGAGTTGTTATTTCAGATTATGTGTGCAGTGGATGTACATGATCTTTAGTTTGCTAGTTATTACGAAGATTACTTCAGGAAGTTTTCATTGTTACCAAGGTGGTTGCTAGGGACGCTGCGATCGATATTATTTCTGTTATGTTGTGTAACTGTTTAATGGTGTTATCTTTATTGCTACCCCCTTCCCCGTCAATGTATAGTGTTGGTCCACAGCACAAACATATTAGTTTAACAAAATCCGCATCTAAAGATAGCCTACGTTATTTCCCCCTGTGCAATTCCAGTCTCACATCTCAGAGCACATCGTCATTAACAAATACCGGAAACAGAACGAAAACATTAAAAAAAAAACTTTATTCCGAGTGTGCTTGCTTTTCTCTTTGAAAGTCATCACATAACGGCATTGTAATACACGGTTCGGCTGCATTACATATTACATATCTGCCGTAGTTCTGTATTTATAGAGCCCTGATGAGAAGACTTCTAGACAAACATGAGGAACTGAAAACGTGACGTGGATCATAAATATATCAGCCATTAAACAACATCTTACATTTCTTTTCACACAATACGTCTCCTTGCAGTATCAACACTAATTCGGCTGACTTTTATATTGATCCAATTGGTAGATAGGCTGTATTTACACCATAAAGGTGCACAGCTGATATAAAGGGACACCTAGTGGTTAAAGCATGTTATTGAATTTCATTATTTTTATTATTAGATATGAATAGGATCCCTATAAAGTATATTCATTACTCGTTATTCTCTACTAATAGTTCATTAAATACTGTATATAATGACTATTTTGCACATCCCTTTCAAGATTTCAAGATTTTCTAAGGTTTATTGACATATCATATAGGCCCACACAACTATGGTGTAGTTATGCATTGAATGAAAAACTTGGGTCGCAGGTTCCTCAATAGCGCATTACAAGACATCTATCAATATTTGTGCATACCTCCAGCAATGTTAACTATGTTGAAGCACTTATTTTAACTGATATTATACATAATGTATTATACTCTTATAAGATGTATGAAGATATTTCATCTCCGGCCTTGTCAGGTATTGAACAATCAATAAATAAAGAACACAGAATTGTTAAATATAAAACAAAGAATTTGTGTGATTATACTAAATGATTTACAAATAAACACCACTGCATACAACTGTTACACATGCTGATGTAACGCAAATGTTCCAACTTGGGATCAATAAAGTATATCTTATCTTAAGCTGATCGATGGCTACTGCCATATTTGCAAAATTTGCCTCTGAACCTTAACAAGTGCATGTTTCAGGCTTATCAATTAATGTAATGTAATGTTATCAATTAACAACAGGGGTCACAAACATAAGACCAGCTGTTAAATAAAGCTCTTCTGACCTTAGCTGGCATGTGTGTATATATATTAATGCTGCCCATTATGGGCACAAGCAATTTTCACCCATTTATTAAATTATATGTTTAAAAGAGTGTTTCCTATCCCCTAAACCTCCAGGGATGTACACAGTTTAATACTGGCAACTTCTTATTATGGGAAATACGAAAAGGTCTTTTAAAACTACAACTCCCAGTAGAGACGTGCCATAGATAGAGAACATGTTGCGAAACAGAATAGCCAGCATGTGTAGTTCTGGGGACGGGGAGGGGGGGACGCGGTGGACCCGTTCAAATCCAGTTTTGGACAGTCTGCCGTGGTTCGAGGCTTGGCGTAACCCTCGGAGCACACTCTCCAATCACAGAGCTTGAGGACTATCACGAGGTTTGTCAAACAGAGCACATGGTGTAGTCCTAAACGATAGCTGGGGATTCTGGGTAGTGTAGTGTCTTCTGCTATCCTTTACTCCGAAAAAATATTTGTTTCTCCGAATCGAAGGGGAAAAATACAAAAGCATTGCACACAATTTAAACCAATCAATGTTGTGTAATTAACAAGGATAATCTGGTGTTTTTTTAGTCGATGAGTAGTGCAGATATCACTGTAAAATCAATCGACAGTAAGGGGAATACTTACTTCCGGGTGTACAATTCTCCGTTATCCAATGAGAATGGACGCTCACATTGCCTTTAAGGGCAGCCGACACAAACGAATGCCGTGCTTCCATGAGCGTCATTATCAGTAGAAATACATTGCTTTTAAAATCGTGCTGTGCAACACGAAAAAAAGGGGAAAATCGTGTTGGTGAACACGAAATGCCATGAGACTGGGTTGGAATGTCATGTATTGTTTTTATTATTATGAAACCGTCCTGTGTCTAGTAGGTAACAGCTGGAACCTCGGAGCACACACAAATATATGACATCTATGGTGTATTATCGCAAAGGGCTGCAGCTCACTCATCATTTGAAATAGCTCACAAAGGGAAAAGCCTGCATGGTCAGTCTCATGTTTTGACCTAGTTTTGGCACGGTCCTGTAACTTGGGAAAGTGTGTGAGAGCTAGTTCACATTGAGGCTGTTTGTTTGGGCTTATCAGAGAAACTCAAATCAATTAGCGATGATTCTGCACGGCAGCAGCCTTTACTGCAGCAGACTCAGCTGACCGGCCCACCTGTTAGCGCCGTCAGCTGATCGCACTGAGATCTATTGAGTTAAGACTCCTGAGCGAGGAGCAACTAATGTGACATAATCAGCTGTGTGATGCTTACCCTATAGAGTTGGACCTTGGGAAGCATGGAGGGAGAAGGAAAAGACATTTAACGATACTTGACAAGGCCTTCAGTCACACTCTTTCACTTTAGTAGAACATTTATACCAAACAGAGGGAAGTAAACAACATAATGGGGAACTTGATTGGACTTCACTATAATTGATCTCACATGCACAGAGATGTGCTTACAAGATTAAAATGTTCTACGTAAACACACACAAAGAAACTATATCAGATAGATTTTTTACTCAATCCAAAAACGAGATCACACACACACACACACACACACACACACACGAAGAAATAAGAATAAGACTCAGAATTAGTTGTTAAAGGCAAAAAGTGACAGAAACGATATCTAAAGAGTGGGAAATCTGACTTTTGACTGCACAAAAATTTAGAAAGATACAGTATATTCGCAGTTTCTGATATGCTGTATCCATTGTGAAGTTTGAAAATCAGTTGGAAGACAGTTGAACATTTGATGAGACAAAAGGACTTGCAAGAGGACACTTCCCACAGCAAATACTAACATGCAGAAACTATGCACACCATGATCTATTAACCTCAGGGACGTACCTCCGAGGAAACAGTAACTCTAGACCAACCATGCTGCAATAACCAAAGATAATGCATTGGTTCCTTTCTGCACTTTATACTCCAACAACACACGGTGTTCACAGATCTTACCCATCTGTCTTTGCAGCGTGAACACTGTCAACATGGCACAGTCAACACAGACAATATGATATATTTAAAAGCTTGCTTCTGTTGCAATGAATGAGCAGATGCTGTGAAAGTAATGGTATCAAACGCTTTTACTCTTCAGTTTCTCCAGACTCCCAAAATAAAAAGATAAATCAAAACGTTTGCTCCTACAATACCTAATGTTTTTTTGTTTGACTTAGTTCAAGGGGGCCTTTACTCACACTTTAGTACAGCACATTTACCCCGTTTAATCAGAGAAAATGCACGTATTTACCTCATAGGGCAAACATGAGAAAAGTGCAGTAAAATCTACATTTCTGAAGGAATCTAAATGGCCTTAAAGCCTGACAGTAGAAGTCGTGCTTTTACGCTGTAATCAAAATGTGTGGATGTAATGGCTTTACACTTGTGCCCTTAAACGTCTGAGTGTCTGCATTTGATTGCAAAGTGTTGTATTAATGACTTAAACTTGAAAAATACAACGGGATAAATAAATAAAACTCACATCCGTAAAACATTTATGCCTCATGCCTGGAAAGCCAAATGATGAAACACAATGAAAAGCTACAAATGTCCCGAGTGATGCACGAGGAACCGACATCTGAATGTTTTTGCTCTGACAGGAAGTCACACAGAAGCACAAGCTTTCTCTCTTCATCATACACACATGCTCCATTTATTTCACACAGAACAATGCAGGCTGGCTCACACACTCGTGTTGACTCTCAGTGTCTCTGACAGAAGAGACAGAGGAAGAGAGGGAGGAGGAGGAGACTCTGCCTCCGGCCCTTCAGCTCTACAGAAAGCAGCTTACAGTGGGTTTACATAATCTCAATTCTCCCTGAGCTGGTTCGAGCAAAGAGTCAAACATCTCAGAGGGAAAGGGATGGATGGCACAAATACAAAGTTAAGCAGGTCTCCCTTGAAAAAGAGAGCAATGATCTCAATGGGATTTATCTGTATAAATAAAGGTTTGAAATGAAATGAAATGAAAGTGTCTGTGATTGGATAAAAGTAGAAATGAGTCATTGTTGAACTGAGGCTGGGTTATGATGCGTTTGGACACAAAGAAGTTTGTGATGAGTAAAATGTGTTTTTTGCTGCAAAAGACACATTTTCTGACTGAGTGAGACGATGAGCACAGCTAAGTGCAACCGTCAAAGAATTTACTAAATTCAGAGAAAAACGGAATCATCAATCAGAATACTTCATTTATCCCAGAGGAGAGTGGGTTTTGTGAAAGTTGCTCCTTTTTGGAATTACATTTAAAATATCTAATATTTATCTACATAAATGTACAATATTTATATATATAATATAAAAAAATGGTAAGGTAAAGTAACATTTAAAGAAACTTGTGTCATCAGTATTTGAGGGATGATTTTCTGTAAGTAATAAAGTTATGACATCACTGTGTACCTCATGTCCCCGAACTTCCTGGTGATGGCGCTGCCCAGCGTGGTGAAGGCGACGGAGGTTTTCTGTCCGGCTGTGGAGATCGTGTCTGAGGTCTTCTTATAGCTAAGAAAAAGATATGCATACAGAATATGTCATAACTCCTTCCTTACACACTTGCATGCACTGACAGGCAGATTTGGACTATTTACACAGGCACTAAACCCACATCAATTGTTTCAAAATCTTCTTAATTAATCACCAAATGTATTTCATTGAGTGGTTTCCTTTCTAACACGATGGCCTTCATCCCTTTTTCAAACTAACAACGCATTTAAATCCATACTTCCAATCAGGTCTTATCTGTCTATATAAAATTGAGCTGCCCTTTTCTTTTTTAAAGTTCTGGTGGTGTGTTGACCTTTTAATTTACATTTCATCATGGACCCAGTTTCTTTAGCATCTTACACTCCCGCGGCCGCACTGGTCCATAATGGATGAGGACGGCGACTGTGTGTAAAGTGATCTTCAGGTTGAAATGTAACTGGATAAGAGGAGAGGCCTCTGGAGAATATCCCCTTGCTCTGTTCTGTCTCTTGGCGCACGAGCTCATAGCGAATGGTCTGGTGAGGAGATACCTTTATTTCTCTGCACACCATGTTTTTTAACTATCCTGATTTGGTGGGTGTTTCACAGTAACAACAGTCAGGACATGTTCAGCTAATTGTTAGCCTTTAGCAGTGTGTGGCCATTTGAGGAGTTTCTAATCAGGTTTACTATGTCTGTTACAAAAACACTATGGCTAGGAGCAGGGGTTTATGTCTTTCTAATTGGGTTTGTGATATCTGCGTTTATAACAGACTTTCAAGTAAGCTTTTATTGGCTGTTAAAAAACAGAACTCCCTGCTCTTTGTGTGTGTGTGTGTGTGTGTGTGTGTGTGTGTGTCTTTGAAATATCATCTATGTTGACAGCAAACAGAGAAGCCATTATTTGATGTGCAGCAGACACAAACAAACATTCTCCCCTTCACTTCAAATCAAATCCTGCAAACTCTTCCTCTTTCTGAAGTGGCACACACACATTGACTTACGCTGTGGAGGTCTGCATGTCGTGCCATCCTTTGCTTAAGTTGTTCCTGAGCTCGCTGAGAGAACCTACGCCAAGTTTCTGTCTGAGCTCTGCGTGCTGCTTCTCTTTGGAAGACAAGACCTGCCGCAACGTACTGATCTCCTCCTCCAGCTGGAAACACAAACAGACAACGAGTCACTTAGCAGATAATCGTCTCTTTCCGTCTCTCAACAGTCCTTCAGTGTGTGCTTGAGAATGGCCCAGTGTGAGCATACTTTAGCTAGCTGTTGCTGGAGCTCCTCTCTCTCCTCCTCGGTCAAGAGGCAGTTGTTTAGGTTGATCTCTGACGCCATGTCTTCGTCAGCTTCTCTCAGTGGCTCTGAGTCCAGAAAATCTGAAAACAATACACAAGCGGTGAGATGTACATTAAAAACCTCTGTAAAATAGTGACGGAGACACAAACTGGAAAGGCAGAAGGCAGAGAAACATCTGGGATTGAAAGTTGTTATTTTATTCAAAACTGTCACCAGTTCAACTTCTGAACAGATTGCACTCAAGCCGCTAAACAAAGACAACACATCTAACATTCTCGTCTTTTTGAAATATTCTGTATCATTTATATCTGCTCCTGGAATCAGATTCAGAAATTTGGCAAGAATATTAGCAAGTTCTTGTTTGGATGCACTTGTAAGTAACTGTGATATTTAGTGTAATATAATTCTTATTGCTGTCAATGAAGAGTTTGACTCTCTTGAACATGATCTGCTTAGACTCTTCTAAAATCTATCTGCCATTTTGCTAAATGTCCGACAGCCTCTATGTCCGATTCTAAATGTCCGTCTGTCTTCATGTCTGAATGCGTGTGTCTGACAGTTATGCAATCTGTGGCGGGAGGCTGCAGCGCTCTAATCTGGATTAACTCGTGTGGATTATTATGCTGTGGGACACTACAGACTGCGACACACACAAACAAGATGCTGTTGATGCAGTGGGGACAGATTGATTTAGAAAGTTGCAATCTTGGATTTGAGTTGAAACTACATTTTAGTTAAAGTATGTTTTGCCTTGGCACTCCCAATAAAATGACTATGAAACCATGGGATGAATACCCATCTGCTCAAACAGTATTTTGATATTCCCAACAGCAATTGTGGGCTCGAGAAGTTCTGCAAGTAAATAACCCTTATACTTTATGGATAAACCTTAATAGACTTATAACACAATTCTGCCCTGCTAAAAAGTACCTCTGGCCCTTTGACAATTCTTTCCTGGCATTTCCTTGACTTAGTTGTAATTACAAATCGAAATGTCTTCTAAATATATTTGTTTTATTTTACATGCAGTCTAAAAAAAACAGTTACGAACACACACTCTTTGGATGATCCTTAACTAAACCACAACATTCACTTCCAAAAAAATAAATAAAAAATACTCTATGTTTGCAACTTTCATGCAGAGGAAGGAAGCTGATTCACACTTTCAGTTGACAGCTGACATGTGAGCAGCAAAAAACTTAAACCATCATTAAGTTACAGGTAATTTCTTTCTTCACGACAATATTCTATA